TCGCGCAATTCCATCCTCAATACCACGCAACTTACCCTACAGATAAGATCCAGTCCACCATCCCCCGTTCACGACGAAAGGAACCGCGCTAAATAACTAAAGCGGGATGAAAAATACGACGAGCGGGTCGAAAGGGTGTGAGAGGCCCGTGTGACGGTGCGCGCGGTGCCGCGGCAAGAGAGGAGGGACGACAGGGGGCGTGGCGAAACCGCGCACGCTCCACGTGACCCTGTCGTTGCTGAAGGCGGGACTTTGGAAACCGGCACACAACTACAACGTCAGTGGAACGGGTTGGTGGTCACCACCGGTGCTCTCTCTGTCGTCGCGCGCGCGGAGCACCTCGAGTCGCGCTCGTACAACACCTGCCGACGCCCGATCCAACTAAACGCTCGGCCACATTTTCTTCGTTTCCGTGACTCCTTTTCGAGAGTGATTTCCACCAATTACTATCGTCGCGATAATCGTCGTATCTGATCCGAAACCGGGCCGGATTTTAGGGAAAAAGGACACTCGAGACCATGGACAGTAAAGCGAAATTGATCGGGATGACGCGTGTCCACGCGAAAGAATGAGACCTGAATCGGTTCCAGGGAACAGTCCACCAGGAATCTTCACCGTTATCGGGACAGGATACCGCGACAACATGCTGTTGCCTCAGGACATGATGGCAGCCCAGTCGAAGATGCTCTATCAGATGAACAAGTATTACGGCGAGCGGGTTCAAGCTCGCATGGGCCAGGTACAGAAGACCATCAGAGAAGTGTGCAAGGTTGTGCAGGAGGTGTTGAAGGAGGTGGAGGTGCAGGAGCCGCGGTTCATCTCCTCTTTGACAGAGTGCAACGGCCGGTACGAGGGCCTCGAGGTGATCTCGCCAGGCGAATTCGAGGTGGTCCTCTACCTGAACCAGATGGGAGTGTTCAACTTCGTCGACGACGGCACCCTGCCGGGTTGCGCCGTGCTCAAGCTCAGCGACGGCCGGAAGAGGTCCATGTCGCTCTGGGTCGAGTTCATCACCGCCTCCGGCTACCTGTCCGCGCGGAAGATCCGCTCGAGATTTCAAACGTTGGTGGCGCAGGCATGCGACAAGTGCGCCTACAGGGATTCCGTGAAGATGATAGCGGACACGACCGAGGTGAAGCTGAGGATCAGGGAGAGATACGTGGTGCAGATCACGCCGGCGTTCAAATGTTCGGGCGTTTGGCCGAGATCGGCCGCCCATTGGCCGATCCCTCACATACCTTGGCCGCACCCTAACCTCGTCGCCGAGGTCAAGACCGAGGGTTTCGATCTGCTGTCGAAGGAAAGCGTGGCGCTTCAAGGGAAGCAATCGGCAATGGAGGGTGACGCGTGGGTTCTCTCGTTCACGGAAGCGGAGACGAGATTGTTGCAAGGTGGCTGCCGCAGGCGGTGCCTCAGCATTCTCAAGACTCTGAGGGACAGGCACCTTGACCTTCCCGGAAATCCGGTGACCAGCTATCACATGAAGACGTTGTTGCTCTACGAATGCGAGAAGCATCCTCTGGAGACCGAGTGGGACGAGGGTTGTATAGCGGATCGTATTAATGGAATTTTCCTGCAGCTGATATCCTGCCTCCAGTGTCGAAGATGCCCTCACTATTTCTTGCCTAATTTGGATCTGTTCAAAGGGAAATCGCCCAGCGGCTTGGAGAACGCGGCTAAACAAGTGTGGAGACTGACGAGAGAGCTGTTGACCAACAGCCGTGCCCTCGAAAAGCTTTAGCTGATAATTTTTGCTTTTAAAGCTTCCAGCTAAAGAGGAGTGTATAATAAAGAGAGAGAGAGTGAGAGAGAGAGAGAGAGAGAGTGCGAGAGAGAGAGAGTTTCGCTTTGAAGGTACTCGGTGACTCGCGTGAATCACGGATTTTCAGAATCTGCTGCTTTCGCGACGGTTCTTTGCCTGCTTTTTACCCTTACAGACGCGGGAAGTCTTACTTTCACTCGATATATCTTCTTGCACAAGATTCAGCGTGCCAGGGTATCGGGGATGGTGTAACGAATCTGTCTATTGACTTTATCCCCTAATTTTTTTTCCCTTTCCTTTTTCCCTTTCCTTTTTTCCTTTCCTTTTTCTTTTCTTTTTTTTTTTTTTGTTTCACGGTTCCGTAAATTTTCTCTATGATTCCATGACACGATTAATGCGAGTCGAACGTTGATTATTATTATCGGTGCAAGCGTTTCGTTCCAGTGCAATATCCTACTTTTCCTACTGTTTCGTTTCGCGCGAAAGTAATGAGTAATTGTTAAGTTTAACTCGTTAATTTATACGTAAAAATTTCAAGGAAGGCACGTTAAAACTTTCTATGTTAATGGCTACGATAATCGAGTCCGAAATCGACTGGATGCGCGTAAGATTTAAAGGATATCATTACCGCATTTTTTTTCTTTTTTATTTTTTTATAATGATCGAAGCTTTCGCTTGGAGCGGAATCTCTTGCTTATTTAACGAAGCGATTTCTCCGCGTAGAGTTGCGATACGAAAGCGATTTAATTAAGTACCCGATTAGTTGCTCTTACTCGTCTTATGGCTGATGCGAAACGTTGCGCGATCCATTCTCGTTAAATTAATCCAATGTTTATAATGAGTTAGCGATTGAGCTGCCGTCGGTAGCCATACCATATTGTTGTATGTAAATACTTTTTTATATTATTTAAACGATATTTATTTCTACTTCGAATCATTGTTCGAACATACATGATGTAAATAATTAATAAATACATTTCGTCTCATAAAAGGAATAATTAATTGCGACGATTCTAATTCTTTTCGAGTTAAATTATGAATCATGAAAATCCGAATCATTTATTATTGTACGTTATTAATATTCGTTTGATATTTTGAAACGGAACAAATTTTTTCATTATTGTAATCGTGAAAAATATTCCAAAGATCCCTTATTTCATAAAAACGCATTTTCTAACTCTTTTTTAAATCAGAAAATTGCAAAATTTCATAAACTCTCTAAAACTTGTCATTTAATTTAAAAAAAAATTAAACAATTAAGTATAAAACATTTTCATTTAAAGATAATCTATTTCTTTAGAAATTTTAACCTTAAAATGTTAATCAATTATTACGTAAATGATCTTAAGAATTAATGACGCGAATTAATTTATTTAAAACTCTATTAATATATCAAAAATTTCTGAGTATGAGACATAAATAGACATGAAATAAAATTTGTAAATTCAAAATATTCTTTCTTACCGAAGTTATTAAAAAAGAAAAAAAAAAAACATTTAATTAAAGCCAACAACATCTCGTCCTCGATTTCCAATCGCTTTCACAACTTTTCTTCCCACAAAGGAGATATCCACCAACCGTAAAATTTGTATCTTAATAACCAAGATCCAAAATAATTCGCCATTCAATTTTCATCCCGGTCAGTTCGAAACGATACCATAAAAACCACTACGGAATAATTATTATCTACGATATTAACACTTGTGTGCACGCGCTGGCAGGATACCGTAACGGCCTCGTCAAATGCATCGCTACCGAGCGTTTCATGGTCGCTGTACGCCTACGACGATTCCAAGTCGTACCCCTTATCTTAATTCCTCCCAGAAATTCCCATCCTTATCTCCTCGGCGCAATGACATTCGTTAACCGATGGCCACTCACTCTCCGCTCGCCGATCGTTCAGGAATTTACGTTATTATTATTGCCCCGTAAAAACAAAGTGAGAGGAAAAAAGCGTTTCCCAACGGCGAATTGCTCGTTCGCTCGCTCGCGCGCGGCCACACTTTACGCGCGC